AGTTCAACCCCGGGGGGGGGTTTTCCCCCCCCCCCCCCCCCCTTTCATAGGCTGGATTAAGAATAGCTGCATCAGTTCAGTGCTGCTGCATCAGAGAACTCATTAGGAACATGCTGCTGTTCAGAAAGGAAAAGAAACACCACCACTTCATGGAAAAATCCAAACATTAACAGCCACAGGTAACTGAAAGGGAAGGATTTGTACATAAGCACATATGCAACCAAAACCATGTGAGAAGGCATCCAGAGCAATTCCAAGAGAACAGAAGAAATAAACCGGTTAGACCTGGGAAGAACACCGAAATCAAATACAAAGGCACTCATGGAGAAGCCAGCATTAGCGTGGCTGGAAACCTACTACGAAACTAAAGGGGGTAGGGAAGAAACACAAATTCAACACCAAGCTTGTTTTCACACAGAAGCTATAAAACAGATCCATAGATTTTCCCAAGTCCTTTGATCCTAAGGAGAAGAGACACAGATGGCAGACAACGTCAGCACTACAGGCAGAGGAGCAGTCTCAGGTTCAAAACAACAGGACAAGGTAGCAGAGGGTTTTTATTGGGGTAACGGGAGGGTAAGGGTCACTAGACTGCCTCTAGATACTACAGTACCACTACTGTAGGGTGCCGGACTCACTCTGAAGGACGCTTATAGTAGCCTGGGCTCGAATCCACGTTATGGAGGGATTTTGCCTCAAGTCATTCCTCCTGGGATCGTTGCTGGCCCTGCACTCGTAAGTCCCAGAGTCTTCCAAGGTAAGGCGGGTTATTCTCAGCACACTCACCCCATTCGCCCCGTAGGCAGTGTTAATGGTGACACGGCGCTTCCGAGCGCCATCCCACAGCTGTTTGAAAGACTCAGCCCGGTTGACTTCAGCATACCACCACTGGATCTCTGGAGTGGGGTTCCCAACCACATCACAGTACAGTTCAAAGGCGTCCCCCGTGAGTTTAGTTTCTGACATGGGCGACTTGACAAACCCAGCTAGAGGGAGGGGCAGCAGAAATGCAGTGACAGAGTGGCAGAAAACAAAAGATCTTATAAAGAACAAAGCAATGAGGTGCAGAAAACAAAGAGTTAGATAAGACATTAGCATCTACAATAACACAACTTGCATAGAAAAAGCACAACACGGAACAGGTGCGGATGGAGGTCAATAGTTTGAGAGCCCACTCAGAGTATTCATGGGAAGCACAGCTTCATGGCATGAAGTGCTTATCCTCGCCACTCCAGGGGATCCATCCATGGCAGCTGTACTTGGGAAGCCATGGGCTGCAACGCACACCAGCTAGGAGGTACCTCCAAGCTGCAGAGCAGACTGATGGGTTTTCAAGCCTTTTTCAGTCACGTGGACCTTGTAATTGGCAAGTGTTAAGTGTTCATGACCAGATGTCTTTTCTCTGAAGAGTTTTCTTGCTTTATATGACCTACTTACAGGGGGGAAAAGGGTAAAACCCTAACCTTCTGCCCTACGCAGCTCACAATTGTGAACTCTGCTTTGACCTCTTCTTCCATCTATTTTGGACTTCTGAGGCAGGGAATTCCCCAAGATACAAGCAACCTACTTTCCTGAAGTAGCTGGATCACCACAGCTCCAGGAGTCTCATAACCTTCTAAGGTGAGGGGAATTTCAGTGATATATATATATATATATATATACACACACAGATAATTTCATTAGTTATGAAACGGACAGCAAAGGTACTTCAACAAACCATGTGATTTTTGCCTTCTGAAGTGAGATGCCATGCTGACATTTGTGACCAGGCCAAAATATCCTTATTATGGCATGAAATCCTTCAATACTTACCAGCTTCAGAGCTGTGTTAAGAGCACAGACATACTAAATTGTCCTTCAATCCTATTTTCAAAGGTATCTATTGAAAACAGTGTTGCCTTAAAGCTAGTCTCTTCCCCCGCCAGGCCCCCCCTAAAACTAAAAGATTAGAATACAGCTGGCCAGACAGATTATGCAGCAAAACCTGTCATATTGCTGTGTTCCCTGGGCAGCAGGACTTCTCATCAGCAAGCAGAGTTAAGAGTGCCACACAGCTGATAAAACTCAGATTGTTTCATCCCTTTCCTCAAATTCACAGCTTATTTTCAGGAAGAGGATTGAAAGACAATTCAAAGGATTTTAGAAAATGGAAAGGTGGACTTAAAGCCTTGTTCTGATGCACACTCATTAAATAGCATTCATTCCCCCCTCATCATTTGACCACACACACTCATGAAACAGTGAAACAAACAGTTGTACGCTGACAATGACATGGGAAGTTTGTGCTATAGATGCATCTCTAAAGAATCATTTGGGCAAGAAAAGACCAAGAGTCTCTAGAGCACACACACAAACCGTTCCTTGCTGGCACAGTCCTGTTTGAAGAGCAACTGTGCCGCAGCTGTGAGTAACAGCTACAAGAACAAACACTCAAAAATAAAAAATACTAACCTCAGAAATTGTTTCAATTACAAACTCATTTGACAAGGATTCTCCAGCCTTGTACTCCAGCGCTAAAGGAGATGAGCTCTACACTCAGTACAAATACTACAGCAAATAATCCATTGCTGCAGGGAGAGAGAGGAAGAGCTATTGCTCTAGAAGTGCCCTAATTACTAGCAGTTACAAACTGCATTAAGACCGCTGTTGTTGTTTCTTAAGGTTAACAAGGATCACACTGTTTTCACACTGCTGCTTGAGATAACACAAGAGACCAGGTTATGATCTTGCTCTGCTGGACTGTCCCCATTTCAAGGGATTCTAAACGAGGAAGGCTTTGTATTCCCATAAAGGCATAAATCAAACAGCGAGACTGGCATCTATCTCAGTGTGGTTTACTAGATGCAATAGGCTAAAGCAGTAGCATATGGCACAGGCTAGCTTCTTTCCAAATCTTAGGGGTTCTCTCTCCTATACTACAGCCTTTTTTCTTCTCCTACCTTCCACCACAATATTGAAACGCCACTCACAGCTGAAGAGACGACTAGCTCAGGGAAGACTGCTCAGAAAGCTATCCCCCTTCTATAGGTTCCCAGTTTCCACTAAACACTGATGTACAAAGATGATGAACTCTCCTGTTGTGAAATGCATCCCTGAAGTCAAAGGCCAAGTGACCCAAACCCCTAAAGCTGCAATTCAATCCTACTTCTCCAGCTGTCCTGGCTATTAAGCAACCATTTCTGCAAGAAAAGGCTTCTTACCTAGCCTTTGTGGCAGGGATAAACGGGTGTAATTGTATATTTTAAAATAACTGTGAGCTGCACTGTTGCTGGGGCTACACAATAGACATATGTGGTATGAAAGAGTACTGTAAATCCTCTTATTAAAAGGAGTATCAGTAATTTGAATAAAACAGGCTGTCAAAAGCTTTTGGTTTTGAATCTGATTCTGTATTTGCTAAGCTGTTAAAAGTATTATAACTTTTGCACAAAGCCTAAAAATAATTTAAAAAGATTAAACTGGACAACTGCATCAAAAGGTCTCTTCAGTAAATATTCTCCCAGTTTAAGTTTTAAACCCTACCATTTCCATCAGTTTCAAATCCTCTTGAAAAACAATGTCTCAGATTATGATATATTTCAATGCAACACTCTCTCTTTATCTGAGAAACCATGTCATCAGCACAGATAACTCCATAATGATGGCAAAGAAAAAACAAACTGGATTTGGTGGCGCTCCCCACCAAAAAGTGCTCTTTAAAAAGGTATTCCAGGTTAGAATAAAATCCTGGAAGGACAAATGGGAATGAAAGTGGTAGAAAAGCCTCCATATACAAATTAATAAAAACTTTGCATTACAAAGGAGTGGCAGTGCTATTAAAAACCCTACACAAGAGCCTCAGATTAATGTTTTGCGTTTTCAGTCGTTCAGAAACAGCAAAGGCAATACATCAAACAGCATTGGTGAGGCGATGCTTCCAGCTACAGTATATCTGCCAGAAGACCATTTTTGATTAAGATATCTAGCCAGAAGCTGCAAAAAGAGCTGAAATCTGCCAGTACCAAGCAGACATGTTTTAAAAAAAAAAAAAAAAAAAAAAAGGCTAAATATTACAGAGAATGAATGCTCCCTGTCACACAACAGGAGTCTGGAAACTGAAGTACTCCTGCTTTTTGGCAATTGTCAGTGATTTCCATAATTGTGCAAAACCAAACAGAAAATGATACCATACAGATTTCATTGCTTACATAAGAGGCTTTCAGAGCTCAACAGTTTCCTTACTTGGTCTTCTCCAAGCATAGTACTTGCTGCTTTGTTATTACTGTGTTCTGAACAATTCTAGACACAGGAGCAGCAAAAGAACAAATACATACCAAAACACAAACAGATCAAGCCAAGAGGTCAAGGTTTTGTTAAAGTGATTATACTATATCTGTTTAAAACTGAAAACCTGCCCTTCTTTGAAATTTATAGCTGTCTTCTTTCCAAAGTGTAAACTGTAGGAAGCACTGGTTGCAAGAATAATTTTCAGCCTCAGCTTGCAAGTGTCAGCCCTCTACAGAATAGCAGAGCAAAACTGCTGCCAATATTCAAAAGCTCGCAAAGGTCAGGGCTCTTGGGAGGGTGGAGGAAGGAGGCAATAATCCATAGATCACACCTTAAGATCACATAGACCCATGGGAAGCAGCAGAGTAGCCCAAATCTTAAGTGAATCCTTAATACCAAATACAATAGGAATAAGCACTTTTAAGTGCTTACAAGAAAATATTCTTACGAAGTTTTGATACTGTAAATTTTCATTATATTGACAGCTGTATTTCATTATAGTCATAAATGAGTTATTCTGTTACACAGTCTGTTTTCCTCATTAAAATAAAAACATGTTTGAGGGGGAGGGTTGTTCAGGTTTGGGATATTTTTAAAGCTAATGGCTATCGTGCATAGAACAAGGGAAACCTCTTGTTAAACACCCCTTACAGGTCTTCATGGTATACCAGAATGTAAGAAAAATAACGCACAATGGTCCAGAATGCATAGCTATTCAAGTACGCTATTATGTTTCCAACCAATTTTTTTTTTAATTAATTGATGGTTATCTGCCTGAAGGACAGAATGAAAAACTAGTGGCAATAACATTAAATCACTTCTGAAGTGATGTTTGTTGATTGAAGATTTGATCTCATCCACCAATTGTGAGGATGAAGGTGAGGAAAGCAATGGACTAACACTCTAAAACTAGAGAAGCAAATTAGTCTCCACATACAATTCTGCCAAAGACTAATGAAATCCAGTGCACAGCAGGGCTCTTCATGTTTACAAACCCTGTATGTTAAAATTTGTATTGTAGTGAAGAACCACTAAATCCAGATTAAGAAAAAATGCCTTTTGAAAGACAGGTGCACTTGAACTGAGAGTGAGGGAGAAGCTGAGCTCTTCAAAAGGGCAGCCAAAAATTTCCATATGCAGTAAGAAAAACATGTACAGCAGACTCCAGAGCCAGAAAGCTGGAAAAGCTCCATATTCAACAAATGCAGAGTTCAGAAGAGGAGAGTGGATGAGAAGCCTAAAGATGGAGAGTTTAAATGAGCGTAAAAGCTTAGCTTTACCACTCCTAAGCAACCTGTTTTCATTAATGAGGCTTTATCAATGAAAGACATCTTTTCAGATTAATTTTTGTTCTGCCAATATTTATGAGCTACCTGTTGGCCAAAAGCAAGCAAGGCCAAGCCAAGCTACATTCCAGCTTTGGCATATAAATAAATCACAGCTTTATATACTAGCAATACCCTTTCCAACTTCAGCACCTTTTCCAACTGCAGCTATTTCCCTCATTGACAGAAGCCAGAGAAGAGTCAGTAACCGAGTACCTCTGGAAGAGGTGCAGGTGGGAGAAGGACAAGGCTCATCTTCTTGCTGACGTGATCATGTAACTGTAGGATTAAATATGCATACAACTAGAAATTTATACATATTAGAAGTGTGTGGAAATATTTAACTGTAATTTTGACCAGCTTCTGAAGCCTGTA